GCATACAAATATGATTTTTGTGTTTGCTATATGTGAAAGTTGCTCTAATTTATATATATTGGGCTTTTAAATTGAGGAAAATTGTATATAATAACAAATTATTAATTTAAATTAAATGTTATAACCATAGTTTGATTTAATTGTAACTCGTAACAAACTGTTGTCATTCACCTCTCTCCCTGAAATTCTCGCTCGCCACTCTCTCTCTCTCGCTCGCTAGTCTCTCCTTCACCTCTCTCACTTTATCAAACACAAAATGTATAAATTGTGTTTCTGTTTGTATAAAACGAGTGAAATTTGTATATACAAATGCAAATACATATATCTTCGTCATATACACTTATAATTATACAATACAAATCTTCTCCTGCCCAATTCTCTTTTGTCTTTCTCTCTTTCTCGTTTTATATAAACACAGATTATACAAAATGCAACGTATAATTTGTGTTTGTATAAAGCGAGAGAGAAATTTGATATACAAACGTTTTATTTCGATTCAATTGTATACAAATTCAAATTTTATGCAGATTTACAAACACATAAAATTGAATTGAGAGGCTGCCAGCGATTTATACAAACGAGAGACTACCAACGATTTTTACAAATGAGAGACTGCCAGCGATTTTATACAAATCTGATGCCCCCAGCGATTTATACAATTTGATGCTCCGTAGCGTAATTATGTCAACTATAGTTATAGCATACAAATATGATTTTTATATTTGCTAAATGTGAAAGTTGTTATTAATGAAATGTCAATGACTTTTGTTAAAAAATGGAAAACAATCTCATAAATCACGATTATTATATTTGATTAGAATTTGTTGTCTAAAATGACTTTTTCAGTGTACTGGATTCATGAGATCGACATAACTTCATGAGTGCAAAAAAACTCAATCGCGTTAATTATACAATTAACATATTATATACAAAAATTTGTATATCTATACACATTATAAAGTTGTATAAACAAGTAATGAATTTATATAAGTGTTGCAATTATATAAATAATTTTTTAAAAATATTGTAGGTGATAATAAAAAATAAATATAAATATACAAATTAAACTCTAAAAAACAACACAAAAAAACCTGAATAAATTTATTTTTTTATAAGCAGATCTATAGAGATATATACAATAAAAATTTCTTATTCTATTAATGCATATACAAATACCTGAAATATATACAAATTTTTAATATACAAACACCTCGTGTTCTTCGATCTCTTGTTGGTCATCCGAATCGAAATCATCAATTGATTGAGAATTAGATTCATTGTTATTTGAAGCAATTTCTTTTACTTTTTTATTTTACTAGTATACGTGCTCGCGCATTGCGCGGTTAATTGATAAATGTAATCATAAATATTAATTTTTTGACAATTAAAAAAAAATTATTGACTTTTGAAATTTAACTTATTATAAAATAATATTGTAAAGTTTATTTGAGCATGTTAACATTTGGCATTTTGAAGTGTTATAATAGAATATAATGTAAATAAATAAATATATAAGCTTAGTTCATTATCTAAATTTGAAAATAATAATCTTTTATCATTACTTAATTTATTTAAAATGATAAATACTATCACTCTATCCATATTATCCTCTTGTTAAAGTAATAAAGATATAAAAAATTTAATAGTAGATTTAAATAAAATATAACTAATAAAAGTCATATCATTATGCTAACTGCTAAGCATACAAAGCTACTTAATGATTCGTTTTAAGAGGGAATAATGTTGTTTTATTTATTAGTATTTTTTGTAAAACAAAATCATTTTTTAGTTAATATTCAATTTATGTATGTATTAATGTCTAAAATGGATTTTATTATTTGATGTGATTTATGACCAGTGATATATACATATTTTTTTGTTAAATGTGACACCTTTTAAAAGGAGAAACAATGAATAAAATAATGTAACATCATATTAAAAAATAAAATATAATGTACCATTGGTACTATACCTTTTCTAAGAAAATAAATTTTAAAAACATTATGCTTCTATTCTTCAAATTCCTTTTATCTTTTGTATCTAACCTAAGTTGGTATGAATAAAATTAGAAACTAAATTTAATTTATTTTCATTCTACATTATGTTATCAATTATTTTAAATATTTATGCTACCAATTATTTTAATATCTTTTTCTTTTTGTTCCTTACACATCATATGTCATTTGACTTGATCACTCTTACCTATTACTCCTTAATAATATATTCCTATAGATAAATATTTTTATTATTATTGAATTCAATTTAATTAAGCAATAGTTATATCACTCAAAGTGCTTTCATTTTTCAAAGTTAATTTCAGTTATTAAAATATAGGTTTTTTTAAATATGTTTTGTGCTAATTGAAATTCTTTCCTTTTTCGATATTATTGTTTTTTATTTTATTTATTCAGGTATTTATCTTATTTTATTATTATAATCAAAGACTAGATACATTTATTTTACTATTGAAATAAAATAATTGACTTCAAATTAACTACTTAACTCTAGCAAAAAATGATTTGCTTTTATTGATGTGTTTTATTTTTGTTGCAGCAAAATGTAAAAGAAATTAATTGAGTTTCAGAAGATATGATGATAAATCAAGAAGATATTCAGAAGAATGTTGCCCATGAAGATGAGAAAATAATTTTAAAATAGGCGGTAGTATTATATATAAAATGAAACATTTCTGGACTTTAGTGTGGTAACTATGTAACTTAGCAGATTTTTGTATTAGAATATTGACTTTAACAACAAATTTCACGTCGATTTTGTCGCTCCACATGTCACTCCACAGGTTTTTCTTTTGACCACTATCATAGTGATACATAAGTCTGTCAAAATAAATATCAAGGATGAAGAATGATAAAATTATAAAGCGTATATATATATATAAATTAATAGCAGTAATCACCTAAGGTATGTCGACATCTCCATTTTTTAACCATCTCAAGTTTTTCATCATCTTTGTTACTATTCATATTTATTTTGTTCTGCAAAAAAAAAAATAGTTATTGACTCATCAAAAAAATAAAATACAAAATAAAACACAAGTTAGAACTCTAACCTAAATTTAAATACCAATTGAACTAATAAATCGCATAAAAGGGATCATTGAGATATTTGCTTTAATTAAAAATGGATAGAAAAGGCTAGATTTTATATATATAAAAGATAGATAGATTTTATATTAATTTAAATTTTGAATTTTGAGAGAAAATATAGTTTTGTCTTTCCTATTAGTTAGTGGGGGAAATGGGTAGAGCTGTCAATATGGGTTGACCCACTTCATCCAGGCTAATTCATACAGATTTTGAAATTTGACGGGTCAGGACGGGCTAGCTCATTTTTTGTGTGGGCCATAAAATAATCGGCCCAACCCACAAGTACGTGGGCTACGGGCTTTGCCGGGCCAACCCTTTTTCCTTAAAATATATTTTTTATAATTTTTTAATTAAAAATATTATCATAAATATCGACGAGACAATATTACATGGGGTTAGTGTTACTACTCGTTAATCAAATACACAAATAAAATTATCTTTATAATATTTATTAAGTTTGATTTCAAGTAAAAACGTAAATAGCTAAATAAAAATATTAACCTAATTGTTTTCCAATGATCATAATAAAACACAAAAACTATGACAATATTCCATAGGCTACGCCAGCTAGGGTAGTGGCGAAGCACTACTGAGCAATTCACGTATCACTTGAGGCCTATGTAGTGATTCCCTAGAAATTTAAGAAAAAAATTATTTTATGTAGTACATATTTTATAAACATAATTTGTATTTAAATTGTAATATTTCAAACTTTAAATAGATTTTGAGTTTAGAATCTTGTTATTTTTAATACTCTATTTTATTTTTATTTTTTAATTAATTTTTATTTATCCCACGGACCGACCCTATCCATATTTCTCAAGCCCCACAAATCGACATGCTTATTCAGGCCGGGCTAAAAAGTCCTTTTCTAAAATGGGTTCCAAATTTTGAAACCCAATCCTATCAAATCATGAATTAGGCCAGACCGACCCTACGAGCCTTGCCATATTGACGGCTCTAGAAATGGGGTAAGGGACGTGCACTTATGTTAGTTTTACTTCTTTTTCTTTTTAATTATTTTCTCAATTTCAATTATTTTTTAAAAAATTGTCTTTTCTCTTCTTAATTTTCGTATTTTGTTTTTCTTTGTTTAAAAAATATGTTTAT